GTAGGTGAATGAATGTGAGTGATAGCACTTGGCGAAATCAACGTCAAGAAGTGTGGCCTCAAGCCGATTTTCACCGTGCGCTGTGGCGCGCCGCACTTTCACTCGTATCTCGGGAACAGTTCGTCCTACGACCATGGAAGCAAATGACGTGACGAATAACTTTTGTTTTATACATTTTGCCATGAGATGCGTATTTCAGGCGCTAGGTAGACAATTTTACGATTTTAGGCGAATTTCCGAAATTTCAAGGGTTGAAGATGCAATCCGATCTCAAAACAAAAAGTTGCATTGGAATCAGGAAGTACTAAGGCAACTTTTCCGCACTATTAGAAATCCCGAGTCGAAAAAAGTCCGGAATCGACCCACCCTAATGTATATTCCTCTTTCCAACGGTACTTTCAGATCGCGGCGCCAAAGAAATCGAAATTGTGCCGTTATTTCCCCCAATATTTACTTTAAGGCGCTAATTACGTTGAATATGTTATTTGTGATATTTTATTGAAATTATGTGGAAWTTTTTTTTTTTAAATAGTGAAATCAATCTTTGTCTATATACTGATTTACGATCCTTTGGATGATGTTATTCTCATATACCAATATCTTAAATATAGCGCTTTGGTTGATTTTAKATCACATATGTACATCATAAGTTCAAATAACAAATTTAGTTGTAATTAATTCGGTTTCCTCAAATAAGGCATGTTGATGTCTTATACCTGTGTCAGACATGTAGTAACAATACCAGAGTAAAGGTATCATGGTATTCTGTTTACGATGTTGATGACACACATGACAATGTAGTAATCTCAAATACTAGATTTGTTTCATAGGCATTAAATATTTTTTTAAAAAATTTAAACAATAAATATGTAGGTGTGTGTTACAGAGAAAATAAGTATTCCAAATAATCTAAAGTTAAGTTATTTTCATCGAAAAAATAACCATTTGGTTAAAGGCACCCTAAAACCTGACATAAAGTAAGGCCTCTCTTGCTTTTCCGGAAAAAAATTTTAAAAATGTTTTGCTTTCCATTTCATTTATTAATTTTTTAAGTCATGTTGACGGAATATTTCGCTTTTGTCTAAAAACTTTTAGCTAAGTTTGTTACCTTTTTTAAGCTGTGTTTATTGATATACGGCAATGAAACATCACAGTATTGTTATCAGCAAAATGCTACATTGCTCATTTGCTATTTTGCTAGTATTTGGTGAGACACGTAGGTATTTGTACCATATATGGTATTGTTACTACATGTCTGTCACGGGTATTACTTAATAGTTGCAACATCGAATTTGATTTTTGAAAATTGCAAGAATATAAAATGTTTGTCTACACTCGAGCCTAACCTTTAAACTTAAAACAGAATAGTAAACTGAGTATAAGTATAAACTAAGTTGTTTAACAACAGAGCAGAGATCCACCGAAAAAAGATATCCTAGTGGTGTAAAAGTACAGTGTGCTCAGATATTGAGTGTTGTAAGTCAGTGTTGTGCATTGTATCGTGGGGAGTTGTGCACGGACGCACCGGGAATAACGTAAGAARGCGGCGTTTCGAATATTTTTTGATGAATAAATGATAAGGAAATAAAACAATAAAAATTTTATTTGTATATGAATTCTTGAACGTGGAGTGGTAATTAAATACTTTTATTTGCTGCCATTATGAAATAGAGGTAAGGATTAAGAAGAGATATGAAGTTTAAAAAAAAGAATAAACAATTCTTAAAGTAAAATTTATAAATTTGTTTTTATTTTTTAAATTCACTTGTTTACGAATATATATGTATCTTAAAACAAAATACAGTAAAATTTGTTTTACTTGAGAATNGTCAAGAAGTGTGGCCGCAAGCCGATTTTCACCTTGCGCTGTGGCGCGCCGCATTTTCGCTCGTATCTCGGGAACGGTTCGTCCTAGGGCCATGATCACATTTCGGTAGCAACTGGCGTGACAAATAACTTTTGTTTTATACATTTTGGCATGAGATGCGTATTTCAGGCGCTAGGTAGACAATTTCACGATTTTGGGCGAATTTCCGAAAGTTCAAGGCCGGAGTTGGGGTTGAAGATGCAATCCGATCTCAAAACAAAAAGGTGCATTGGAATCAGGAAATACTAAGGCAACTTTTCTGCACTATTAGAAGTCCCGATTCGAAAATATTCCAGAATCGACCCACCCTAATGTGTATTAACTCGAGCGGTTGGTGGAAAAAGAGTTCCACACAAATATCTAGTGATTTAATGAAACTAAGTAACATATTACCAAGAACGTGTTACAACTAGAAAAATTGGGTAAATTGTTGATAACTAGATCTAAAAGTAATGGAAGGCCTCCGAATATATGCACACTTCAAACAAATCGCTATATAACGCAATTGGTAGAAAAAATTAAAAAATATCAGCTATAGATATAACGCAGCATTTTAAAGAATATAATATTGTTAGCGCGAAATGACAAACAGTGCAAAATTTTCTTCGAATGGAGGGCTTTAAAGCTTTTACACCTAGAAGGAAACTCCTTCTAAAGAAATATGTGAATCAAAATTCATTGGGTCCGATGGACGTCGTTTTGTCTGGCGACGAGGAGGTACAGCCGCGTAACGTTACACCGACAGTGAAACATGGTGCGGTAGTGATATGGTTGGGGTGCAATGGCAGCTAAAAGGCCAGGAACTTTGAGTATGTTGAATGAAACCTTGACTAAATAACAGGATTTACATTTTTTGAAACAACACTTGCCTGAAACTGCAACGAAATCGGATTTACCAAGTAGTTTTTATCTAGTGCACGATAACGATCCTAAAACACTCAACGATGATCACCAAGGAGTGGCTAGTTTATAATGTTAAAAATTTGTTACACCCACTCCAAAGTTAGGCCCTAAGTCCGATAGAGCATTTGTGGGTCCAAATAGAAACTGAACTGAGAAAAATCCTATTCATAATATAAACGACCTTCTTAGAGCCATCCAAGACATTTGGTCTAATATTCCTGAGGAAGTAACCAGAAATTTGGTAAATTGTATGAATAGCAGACTCCAATCTGTTATTGATGCCAAAGGCATATTAAAAGTTTTAATTTTGTAAATATTTTTATGATAAATTCAATTATTCTTCCTGTCCCACTTTGTTACATAAAAATGAGGTAAGTTTTTGTTATGCATCCTTGTTTTTTTTATAAAAATTATTTACAAAAATAAATAGCTTTTGTTAAACATATTAACTGTTTTATTTGCTCAATCTCAATAATATACTTAGTTGCAGAGATATATCAAATTATTTCTATTTTTTGTTTTATTTATAAAAGCTTATACAATGTTAGTAACATACATATGTACAACCTAAAGCATGCAGCACTAGCTTCAAAGGCTATCAGCTGTCTGTTGAATAAATGTATTGGCTTAAATTCTCCTCAGTAGATCACATTCTTTAAGAAAACGATAGATGGTTTTTATATTTTCTTCCGTAGCATTGGAAACGAGGGAAATCGGATCTGTGTTGAAGTGGCAATCCCTCTTGTCTTTCAGTGTTCGACAAAATTCTAATATATGAAGCACAGTTGTTGTTGATTTACAAAACGGACAGCAGTTGGTACCGTTTCTTCCGATGAGGTGAGCATGCGTCAGTATAGTATGTTCAATCCGTAGTCGAATGTATGGTGTTAAAAAATTAGTTGCAACTGTTGATGGGTATAGCGGTTTGATTCTGGCTGTGTTAACTATTGAATAATGGTGTTTATATGAGACCCAATCAAGTGCCAATTTAGAGAGCNACTATTAATTTATACATTGATGTCAATTTTATATATTCACTTATGTATTAATTTATTTTCGTATTATGAAATTATGTACATTTGAATTTAAAAAAACGAGGATATATAATATGAATATTACTACATATATTTGGTATATATACATGTGATTGTATACATACCCTCCTACAATGACCAAATAAAAAATATACTAATCTTTCAACACTTTCTGTGCCTGCATATGAAACTTTTGACTGCAGCAATTAGAGCTAATCAATTGTCATCTATGAGAGAACGTTATTGAGTGAAGTAAAGATGGCTAAAGCTGTTGAACATCCTCACAAAAAGAATTTTATTGAACACCTTAAAGTTTTCAACCAAACCGTAACAGCTTAATCAACAGATGGTAAAAAGTACGAATATTTGAAATGTTTGTACATTTTGTATTTCCACCCAAAAACCTTAGTCATTATAAATTTCTGTGCAAAGCGCTCCCCTGAGAAAAAATTAAACGACTTATCCTATTATATTGGTATATCTCATTCTAATTTCTGATATAAAAATAATAATATAAAAAAGCGAAGTCACATTGTACACTGCTTTAACATTAATTACATGAAAATTTCTTAAAACGATTAAATTAAATACTGTAACTGATATCTCGCCAATTAGAACCTGTATATTGTAGTTATTAGAAATTAATGAATTTACAAGTAAAAAACTTTTTATACATATATCTTAATGAAAATATCGGTATTCATTATCCGGGCTATAACGTTCTAACTCTTACTACAAAAATAACATTAGAAAATATTCAATAGCTTGAATTCCTTTTAACCAAAACAATTTTGATCACAATAAGTAATTAAGAGATATCAGTAATTTCCCCATTATTTTTACTGTTAAAAATAACGTGTGTGTGCTTTTTATTTAAACAACGTAAGCCTAACGCTATTAGTGGTATCAATAATTTAATTWAAAAAAAAATAGTATTACACATAATACTTCTACTGGAAATGTAAATTAGTGGACAAAATTATGTGCATTTTGGAATAAAGACGTTTCAACTTATCCTTAAGTACTTCTCTAACTTTCTGTAAGATTCTTCATGTAATAAATTTCCTGTTTTGGTATATAAAATAAAATACATATTGCATTACTTCGTAACCTAAAGATTCAATACGACTTGTCTTTCAAACTGGCTGGGCAGTGTTAGTCTTTAGTTTTATTGATTAATTTGTATTTTTAAGGTAAGGAGATCAGGCGATGTATTGCCCTCAAAGTTCTTAATAGATAAAAACGCTTTATGTGTAGTATCAATATTCTAAAGATGCAGATGTGYGAAAAATTCTGTATTCAAAACGCTGTTAGAATCACTGCCTACCAATATTTTATCATTAGTGGTTCCCTTGTGTTTCGTAAAAATATGCATACAAGGGGGAAGACGGCATTTGATTAATTTAGATTAGGTCCCCGGCTTTCTCTTATAAACAACTATAGAAATCCATGGAAAATGTTCGATCATTTAATTTGAGAAAGATAAGAACCCATGTTTCTTCGCTAAAGAAATTTTTCAATTGAAGGTTTGGTTGATATGGAACTTGACGTGGAAGCTGAAAACAAACAAAAAATATACATAATCAATAAATAGAACGTCACTTATTACAGTATTAACTTTAGATAAATCTGCTTCACATTCATAAGAAATTATATTTATAATCAAAAACAATGGATACTGCCTTACCTAAACATCTAAATGGAATATATGACATATAAGTTAAATGTGTAAATGCATATAATTATTAAATTGTATAACAATATTTTATGTAAGAATGAACCATGGTAAAATACGAAACTGAGTCCCTTCCCACGACAGTCGGGTCTACGAAAACCGGAACGGACCCGGATTTTTATCCGGCCAAGGACTGTCAACTCGGCAGAATTTCTGCCGTTACAACAACAACAACACGTAACTGAGTTTGGGGAAATTCAATAATAATTACATTTTAAGTTTCAGAAAACAAATATTACAAAAAAAAAATACTTTTTATCAAATAATTTTAAAATAATGCAAATGTGAACTGAAACTCTTGTTTTTCCTATTGTAAACCAAGCAACAATGTTTTTTCCTATCGTAAAACAAAACAACAACAAACCCATATTAGAATTAATATCCATAACAAATTTTAATCGCTTTCGAATCTGATTCCGACAACTATCAAATTCCAAAACAACACTGAATGTTTTGTTGGATAAGCAGGCTCATCTACAGTAAATTAATACCTTCATTACCTTCAATGTCGTCTTTTAAATTGTTTTCTTGGCAGCACAGGCCTGAAGAATTGGAAATGTTAGGATCTTCTAAGTTTTTTTTATTCACTAACGATGATGTCAGCGGTAACTCCTTAGATGATACTACTGCTACAGAATTATTGTGTTCCACGTCATGCTGATTCTTTAATTGTCATTTCACCAATTCAATAGTTAAAAATTTTTTAAGCCGCTCAAAGTATTGCGAATGCAATTCAACGTCATTATGGCCAGCACCCTATAAAAAATAAAGTTTATTAAACTATATGGTAATTATTAAACAAAATTTTTGGTAAGCATAAATAATATAACTTTTCTTATTAAAATCTAGATAACAAAATAACGATTTTTTTAAAGTCTAAAAAATGATTTTCAAAATAATTTGAGATATATTGGTATTTTGCTGACCGCTCACCCAAACTGGTTCAATCAAAACTGACACTTTAAACGCGTTTTTCTAAACGATTTCTGAAGTTATACTGGACCAATTTACCTAAAAATCCAAAACTCGAATCAATTTACTATAAGCTCTCAGAACGAATTTGATTTTACAACGTGTATAAATTAAATGTTTATCAGATATTCAAAGCGATATCGTATAGACAAAAACAATAGACAATGATTTAAATACAAAGCAGTCATGTGAACGACTGTACATGCCACCGGCACCATCTAAGCTCGGAGAGGTAGGCGTCTGCGCCTTCTTAAACACCAAAAGTGTGTTTGTTAATGCAAGTACTAAGGTAACTTAGAGCGAGTACAATCGGAATCGGTATCACTAGAGAATAACCACAATGAGAAGGATTGTGCCTTTGCTTTGGAACTTCATTTTAGATGAGCTTCTAAAATGAGTAATGAAATCCGGTATTGGAGATACGCGGTTGCCATTGATATATGCACAATCAGAACACCATAAGATAGATATTTTCGAAGGAGGAAATGACGGTAAAAGTAAAGAACAGTAAGCATCTGGGTCGTGGCAAGATAAACTGTCCCTACACAGATCATATGTGAGTCGTGTCAAGCTGTTATGCTACCTTCGTTCAGTATTGTTTGGTATTTCATCATGGAAAGTTTTACGCCTGAACAACGTTAACAAATCGACTTTACTAAAAAATTCACGTACTTTAAATAATGTCTTTCGCGCGATTTCCTATAGCTTAGTACCCTGCTCTCAAGAATTGTAAAAACTTCATAAAAACGCTTTAGATATGGTATGAAGCACTGAAGAAATCAATTACTAATTTTTAATACATTTTTTCAATAAAATGCGAATTTGGCAATGCTGGATTTGCGAAGAAACATGAAATCAACAATTTTTGTTCAGGAAATTCAAAGTAATCATTAAATTCATCGTACATTTTYCTTTGTATATTAAACTTACAAATCTTCATCCACATTCCCTAAATCACAATGAAAATATTTATATACTTATACATATAAGTTTATTTTCTCTTACTCTTCTGATGTGGATCATTCACAATGCGTAATCAGCTGTCAAAAGTACTTGACTACGGTTCAATAAATAATGATGTTTTCTTGAGCAATTACTTAAGACCCGGATACGGAAGGTCCTATGCACACGACCTCCACATGTTGCACATACGCCACACATGCGAAACCAATTTGGAATTGTTTCTAAAGGCCAAAGCAACATTGCTGTAAGCTTCAGATTGGCTGCAGCATGTTATCGAATGTTTGCCTTGTAGTTTTGATTATTTTTTTCTGTGACATGAACAGAACAAAGTGCTTTTATGTAAACACACAAACGCAGCAAATAGCTACAGATTTCTTCTATCACCTATAGTTTTTTTGTTATGAGGAAAAAAACAGCGATAGATATAGTATTGTTATATTACTTTATAAACCAAAGAGTACTTTAAAATATTACTGTCGATATTTTTCGGCAATATTTTGTTTTTGGAGTATCCATTAACAATGTCCAGCAGTAATTGGGAAACAAACTGGCACTCGATTGCCCTGGTAACGTTTCTCTATAGTAGAAATGTCTTGGTGGAAGCGTTAGCCATTTTCGTCACTTACGACCCCTAAATTTTCGGGAAAAGAATCCAGAAGGGAGTCCAGAAAGTGCACTTGTAAGGGGCATGATGTAACTCATTTTTTATTGGCAGTAAGTAGTTGCGGCCCAAGATTTTTGTAATTGTCATTGCTTTCATATTTAAAAAAAAAATCTTTAACAACGCTTTTAAAGGCACTCCAGGCTCGTATTTAAGTTTCACTGAGCATATCCTCAAATGTTTCATCTTTCATTACTTCTTTTACCCCCTTCCATTTTTGTCCATTGCCTTAATAAAATTCTTTATTGAACCCAATTTAATATGCAAAGGTGGTAGTAATACCTTTTTGGAATCAACTAGAGGTTCATTGTTAACGTTTTTTTATACCGGAGTGAGTGCCCGACGTACTGACCCCTGTTTTTGAACATAATGACAGTCTTTCGCACGGCTGTCCCATTCGCAGAACACAACAATATTTCGTATATCCYACATTCGCAGAAGTAGGGCAATTACTATTAGGTCTATTGCCCAACCATATTCTTGATAACTAAAAGAATTCTTATATTTTCATACCTATGATTCCTTCATATGAACCACATGAGCAAAGGGCATAGATGGATATTTGTTACCGTTATGAACGAGAACCGCCTTTAAACTAAGTTTAGAGAAATCAATGAATAGACGTCAATCACGTGGATCATGTTTCTGTCCTAGTACGTTAAACAAAGGAAAACTTCTGAACAGTATACAAGACCCCCTTCTGGAGGAAAGCAATTTGTGAGGTCTTTCTGCATTTTTCTGCAAAACGTAATATTTACATCACTTTGGATAATATTCCAACCTTTTAGTCTGGATACTAAAACTTCGGACTACGAATTTGAAAAGTTTAGATCTCGAACTACGTTATTAAATTGACCCTGTGAAATTAGMTGCAGTACTGTTGAACATCCTAGTAAATCAAATAAAGGATCGATTATCATTTTCTTTGCGATTTCTGTAGTTCTAGTCCTCACTGAGACTCCAAGATTCTGAATGTTTTGGAATAGGTAGTTGTTCACCGTGTTTGAAAGGTATTGCAGCAGATGGTAAATTACAGTACTAAACCGTATGTATAGACTTCGGTCCAATACCTTTAATATTCGTGAAGCAAAATTAGCAGTCTGTAACATGGTCTTTAGGTTCTCTTTAACACCAAAATGCAAATTCGCAAGCTTTTAGCACAAGTGGCCTAAAAATACGCTTTTGGCGGTTCAAAAGTTAGTTCTCCGCACACATAACAAAAACTGTTGGCACTATTTACGCACTGCCTTGGCATTGTACTTAAAAATCTTAAATACAGTAATTTTAGAAATGTAAAAGACAAATAGTTCAAGCAGCTCACGACTTGCGGTCTTTTACCAAGTATACTCTGGGTGAGCTGAGAACATCCGTTTGAGGGCGAGCTAAAATGAGAAGGCAAAACATCCCCTCCGCAGGGTTGTGTGATGGGCTTGGGACCCATGTAAAAAACGCCCCCAATGAAAAATTATCAACTGCCTCGCATGAGAGACCCCCATGACAACCATGGCAAACGAAATAAGGACTACAAATTGATTGCATGCACCTGGAATGTCAGGTCCCTTAATTGGGAAGGTGCCGCAGCCCAGCTGGTTGATGTCCTCGTAAAAATAAAGGCTGACATCACCGTCGTCCAAGAAATGCGATGAACGGGACAAGGACATAGACGAGTAGGTCCTCGTGGCATTTACTACAGTGGCCATATAAAGGGGCGCAAGCTTGGTGTGGGATTCGTGGTGGGAGAGAGACTCCCTCGCCAAGAACTATCGTGCACTCCGGTGGATGAACGTCCAGCCACAATCTGCATCAAAGCGAGGTTCTTCTCCAGTGCTCTAGACGCGCATACGCTCCGAGGTTTTAACATTGACTCGGACCACTAACTTCCTGCATCCAAGATTCGCAATCGCCCGACTTCAAGAAGCTGCAATCACAACAGAGAGCCGAAGGATTTCGCCTCGACCTGCTCTCTGAGAGCACTCACCAGCAATTCAGTATAAATGAACTGTGGGACGACATTTTAAAGCTCCTTATGTACAGCTGCAATCAAATCCATTGGTTTTCGGAAAATGGAAAAGAACAGCTTTAACGACGAGGAGTGCCGTTTCCCAGTTGAGAGAATACAGACTGCCTACTTTGAAAGGTTACACTCAACCACAACATGTGTGGGATGTGATATATACAGGGAAACGAGACGCATTTGCAGACAAAAAAAAGAGAAAGGACGAAATGCGTGAGTTTGAAGAGCTTAAAAAGCTGACCTACATGGGTGGGTCAAAAATTCAATTCAATTCTAATGCGGCGACTAGCAGAAGGTTTCAAGACCGGAGCATACTCTGATGGGACCCAAGGGGGTGATCTAGTAACCGATGCAGAAGGTTTCAAGACCGGAGCATACTCTAATAGAACCCAGTTATGGAGGGAACACTTCTCCTACATGCTGAATATCAGTGAAAGCATAACGCAGACGTTTCACTGCCAGAAATTGAAAAAGTTCGAATAGCAATTACCCGTCTGAAGAACAACAAAGCGGCTAGGGCCGATGGATTACCGATCGAGCTATTCAAACACGGCAGCGAAGAACTGATAAGAATCAAGGATGCATCAGCTTCCCTGTAAAATATGGTACGACGAAATCATGTCCAACGATTGGAATTTAAATGTGCTCTGCCCAATCCACAAAAAGGGAAACCCCACAATCTACGCCAACTACCGTGGAATAAGCCTCCTCAATAAGTTATAAGTTCCTATTGAGCATATTGTGTGAAAGATTAAAGCAAACCGTCAACAAACTGATTGAACCTTATCAGTGTGGCTTTGTGTGACATATCAAATCAACAATTGACCATGCATTCAGCATGCGTGAAATCTTGGAACGGACCCGTGAAAAGAGAATCGACACACACYAACTATTCGATGATTTCAAAGCTGCTTTTGACAGCACGAAGAGGAGCTGCTTTTATGTTACGATGTCTGAATTTGATATCCTCGCAATACTAATACGGCTGTGTAAACCGACGTTGAGCAACACCAAAAGCTCCGTCAGGATCGGGAAGGATCTCTCCTTCGAAAAATCGAGCTTTCGGTCAACTTTATACGCTATATATTGGCCAATACGTAAGCTATGTTAATTAAATTGAGTGAACTAGTTTTTATCCCGACGGTACATCTCTCTGCCAACAATTAATACAATAAAATCGGGTGAAAATTTACCTAGAACTAATATCAGGATTTTTAAACATCCGGTTGACTTTACTGTTTATATATAGTTAATGGTATGTGAGATACTCTAATGAAACTCAGAGAGCACCTCTTTCTGTTAATAATACGTAGTAATGCTAAAAATGCTTAAAATGCTTAAAATCGGGTTAATACTACACCTTCCTAACATATACCTCATAAAAGATTTTCTAACTAGCGGTTGGTCTTATATCGGTTAATATGTAAGTTGAGTGAGGACCATACGGTGAATGACTCATCAAATTAAGGCTTTGAGTACTCAGAAATACAGTTGTTTCAGTCGATGTGTGGGAGTTTGCATTATAGTGGAAAGATTGCTTCGTCTTCGGTGGTTAGTTTTCCTGATTTCTTGAAAGGTAATTAGGAAACAGATGGGTGTATTGCAATCAGAATTTATTGGTCTAGTGGTATGGTTGCCAGCTAGTTGCTCCCAACTTCAATTTTCTTGGAAGTGCTTCGCGCGCGTAAGTACTACTTTTATTCGTAAATCCACGTTTGATCATTTCCTAAGATGTCTAAAACTCAATCTTACAATAGGTCACATGATGATCTTGCAATATCAGTTTGACCACAGCATCAATAGTTTCCGCAAAAACAATTAATTTTAGACGACCTCCACGAAATTTGTCTTGGAGTCGCCAAAAACTGAATTAAGTTCATCGATGCTCAGTTGCTGAGTTAAGTTGTAAAATATAATCGAGGGTAAAATTTGCGGTTTAATTCTATTCATTGGCCGAAATGCATATTTTGAGTTTCTGTAAGCAACACAAATATCAGTCGTATGTCAAATCGTCTTGAGTATGTATAACATCAAAAATGTTAAACTTTACGATAAAGTTGTAATTTGCCAGATTTCAACAGTAGGGTTGCCAACTTCCGAAATATAAAAAGTAACCTAGAAATCATATCTTAGCAAAATTTACTGAATGTTTAATTTGTTTCATCGGTTAAGTATATGTCATATATTATATATACATCTTTGAGTTGAAGGATACACGAAATATAGTTTTTAAACTAATTCGGCTCACCGTCAACCTAAATCCAAACAGAGTAACTGTTGCCAAAAAGTTTTATTTCGGACGACTCGGCGTTATGAGTTCTCGAGAGAAACAGCTTGCGAACACTTGACGAAATGGTTCARGACTTTTTTTTATGAGAGTTTTAATAGCGAAGTGCTTTTGCTACCTTTTTTCTATATGTTTATTTGGAAAACCTGAACTAATATAGGTTCATATTTTTAAAAAAGGACCCGAACTACTCACGCAACATCATCGGAGATATAGAGACTTCCCGATCTTCTCAGTTGCTGATGTTTGTGAAACTATGGATGTAAGGTAAGGTTCATTAAAATTGCCAGCTACCACTAGTAGTGGTACGTTTGCCTTTGCCCGCAATGGAAGCTTGAAGAACATGTCCTGAAATGGTGGAAGAGATATGCTACGTAGGGTAACGTAGCAACTAAAGGAATATATGCCTTCTTATATTTCGCACACTGCATATACGTATACAGATTATCTAGATTAATTGGATTTTTAAATGGTAGATTGTTAAAGGTCCATTATTACGGATTATGAGCTTTTTCTTCAATTCAGTTATTGTCACTATGTGGGATTTTTAAAGTTCTCTGAGTACGTCTGTTCTATAGTTTGCAGTTCTTTCAGTGGTTCAGGTTTAAATGGCGGCAACTAATTATTTGTCTGTAATTAGGCGGGTGCTTATTTCGGCCTTGTGGGCATAGGACACCTGGATGGATAAAGTAATAATAGTAAGTAATAAGTATATCATGTATCTCTGACCAAAAAAATGCTTCTGCGGATCTGCTAGCATTTATGTCGCATCCTACACTCCTATGGCTCTTCGTCGGGGATTGTGTATTCCGTTAAGCTTGTAGCCCTGACAGACGAGCAAAATTAATGCGCCTTAAGCAACGCTAATGCGCATTGAAATTTTATGTTGAGAGACGGCAGACTTGTGCATTTAGACAGCTGGTAGTTTATTTATTAAATTTGTTTATTTATTAAAAAACAAACTGAAATAAAAATGAATAAGATAAATTATTAAGAGAAACTCCGGTATTTTTGGAAAATCAAAAAATTGTAACGAAAAAATTCGTTTATTATTAACTACGTTAAAAGATAATAGAAATTAAAAGCAATAATTGATTGTAATGCGAAAAGGTTAAGAATATTGGAAAAATTGATAGCAAACTGCATTGTTTGTTTTCTGCCATCTAAAAATATTAAAATTTGTTTTTGTTAATATACTTGCACATCATTTAATTAGCAATATAAAAACTTTTTACATATGATGCTGTAAACACAAAAAAGGCGGCAGATTTCAAGCGACATCTGTCACACAATAGCAAAAACTCACCATTTTGGGCAGTGTTGTCTATTCAAATTTAGTAAATTCAGCTAAATGCACGAAATTTTTGTGCTTTACTAACTTGCATTAAGATAGGTCAAATGCGCAAGTTAATTTAAATTAAGCCCGCTAATTCATATAACTAATCTGCTACTATGGGCCGTCCGGTCATCCGGACTATTAAACCTAAGCGACGAGATACTGATAATAATTATTTCATAATAGCAAAATGCGCATATAAAAACATTGCCAATCTCAATGACAAGGTATTTGACAAATGATTAGCAAAGCCTTTTCCTGTGGAGATGAGACACACTAGTTCACTGCGATGCAATCCAGCATTACTTTTCAATTAGAAAATCTTCTAATGGTTGCTATAGCGCTCGGTTTCATATGACACACATGTGGACGTGGAAGAAATGAGAGCAGAGTCAGAAGCTGCAACTTAAAACTATATTTCTTTTGAAGTAATAAGTGCGAGCCAATGTCAGCCAAGACTAAATGAATGACAATTATCCCATTAGTTTTCGTTGAGTCAACGCGATCCAGACAGCACCAGGGCAGGACAATTTATTTGCTATGATCAAACTGTTCCAAAACTACACAATACCAGAGATAATTTGAAGAAATTATAACCAAAAAGTGCCCGTATCCGGTATGTGAACTTATTCATATTTGGTTATAAGAATAGGTTTTATAGGAAAATATTAATGAAAAGTTGTGCTCATGAAATTTGTCCGGCTATGGATCATGTCTATGGACTGTATGTAATGGAGAATCTTACTGTTTATGATATGTTCGGAAATTGCCATTTTGTTGTATATTTTGTATGTTATATGCAAATTTGTTTTAAATAATAAATATATTTAAGAAAATATAAATAAGTATAAAAATTAGAACAAATATAATATTATATATGTATAATGAGTTGTATTAAAAATAATAATTTTACTTTTACTTTTAACCGCTAAGCGGGTATTTAATAAATAATTTGATTAGGGTATTTCAGCATAAGTTTTCCCTTGTAAATATTAATAGCGGGTGTTATAAATATTGTTATACCGCATTCATGGTAATAAACATTTGTGAACATTTTGTGAAAGGGAATGACAGACAGTCATGACAACAGTCGAGTTGTCGGACTCGTGTCGCTCGTGTGTATTTGTTTATTTAAACCAGATTTTTTTCTAAAGCTAGACTTATAAATAGCGGGATTTTTAATAAGAGCGCCACAACAGTTTTAAATAAAACACAAACAGTTTAGGTGTATCAGAGCACTGAGCTTTTGTGAGTCTGTGTGAAAGAGGGTAAAGTAAAATAGTCCTCAGATCTATTTTATAATACATCAAATAAACTTTGTTTGATTTTGCAGTAGAGTTGGGTATATGGGGTATGGGGTGAGAAATTCCAAGTCAGGGTGATCTTACTAGGTCAGTATAGTAAACTCCTCAAAGGGTTTGTTGTTCGTATGTGTCAGTTTTTTTTATGACCTTTTACATTTTTTCCTTATCTTGATGTTTTTTCGCTCAAAAAATAAAATAAAAAAATAAATTTAAAAAAATGTGTGTGTGCTAGTTTTTTATGACCTTTTAGTTTTTGCCAAGATGTTAAAACTAAGCGAAAAAACATCAAGATAAGGAAAAAATCCCAAAAATGTTCCACAGTGTATTTTGTATGTGTTTCATTGTTTAATAACATTCGTTAATCATGACATAAAGTGATGAACAATTTATTATTAATTATGTGTTATTTACTCTGTTTTTTTAATTGTATATTCTAAAATATGTTCTTACCTCAACCCACAAAGGTTCAACGGCTTTGGGACAGCGTTCATAAATACCTATCCCATGGGAAAAATCTATAACCTCATCGTCAGTTCCATGTATTACTAAAACTGGTGATTTCACTTTTGAAACTTTATCAATACTGAAAAAAAAATATTTAAAAACAATATATATTGATCCATCGAAAGCATACCTTGGAAATGCATCGAAAAACCATGTTCTTTTGGTGTTACGGAAAACCACTCTTAGTCCGGACATCAGTGGAGAATGAAGAATTACTGCCCCAACTTCATGCTTTGTTGCCAAATCAACTGTTGGTACTGTACCAATACTTTGGCCGTATAAAATAATAGTTTCGGGACTGATATTAAACCTATATTGAACAAATTTTTGAAGAATACTAATTACTAGATATATCACATACTATTAGTCTTTCTATATACGTAAATAATGGTAAAACGCAGAAAGAGCATGCAAGTTAGAGAAATAATTTTATATAAATATCGTACAAATGTATTCATTGTAATTCTCTACCATAAATTATTACATACCATACTATTATCACACACTACGAATAATTTGGTATAAATAGTAAAGGAAATTTACAGAAATAATTTTTTTAATACCATCTATTTCATTTCAGTTAGTAAACGTTAAAATCTAAAGCTAGAGTCCCCTATTTCATTTAATATAGTTTGTCTTAATCGCAATAACAATTTGATTGAGTTTCTCTACTGTATGCCCTTACAGCAGTCTATCTTGCTTCTCCGGTGCCTCAAACTTTTTCTGTTCTTTGAAAACACTTATATCAGCGTTTTATTAACATTTCAGTGTTTCTTAACATATTGAACATATTTGATTATATTTTCTGGTTGGCAAATTAAATGTAATGGTTTGACTAGTGGGGCATGCAAGGGAGTGGCCAGTGTCATGTGGAGACAGGCAGGACATACATAATATATGTCGGAGTAGGAGTTTAACCTGCTGCAGTATCCAGAACGAAGCTGGGCAAGGGTGACCTTGTTTTCGTAGCAACTTGAGCTCTTCGTCTGCAATGAGTGGTGGTTTGACTCCTAGTACGCCATTCCTTGAAAGGAWGTCGGTGCAACACCTTCCACTGTGAATGGCATTCAGTGCTTGTCGTAAGTTAGTTGTGTCCGAAGTATATATTGACAGTGTGATTATACGAGTGATCAAAAAAAAAAAAAGGTGAAGGTGAAAGAAAAAGGTAAATTCAAATTAAACTGCGCGTCGAAGGATTTCGAGCATTATTTTTCATTTATTTTGGTTGGTAGTACTGTCAGTCACATTAATGTCAAATTTCATGTTAAAATATTCATTAGTGTTTGAGATACGTGTCGTTTTGTGAGCTGCTAAAAGTGAGTTTTTCGTTTTTTGCGATGTCGAAATTTGTTGAGTAAAGAATTTGCATTAAATTTTGTTTACGGAATCAATTTTCTGCTGCGGATACTTTGAGGATGGTGATGAGGCTAAATCTAAAAAAATTTTTACAAGTGGTATAGTGAGTTCCAACCCGGCCGTGAACATGTCGAAGACGAAGAGCGTCCAGGGCAACCATCAACCTCAACCGACGAAGCTTGCGTTCAACAAATTAAAGATTTGGTGTTGAAAAACTATCGATTAACAATTAGAGACCTTGCTGAAAGAAGTTTGGATATCGAAAGGCTGAGCCAATACCATTTTGAAGAATGTTTTGGGCCTCCAGCGCGTCAAATCTCGACTGGTACCGAAAACATTGAATTTTTTGGAAGAAGGGCGTCGCGTTGAAGTGTGTGAAACGATGCTTTCCGACTACCAGTGTGTCATGAAACGCATTATTACTGGCGATGAGACTTGGCTCTATGTTTACGACCTCGAAACAAGCGATCATTCGAGCGAATATCGTGCGAAAAGAAAGCCGAGACCAAAAAAATCGCGCCAAAGTTGCTCAAAAATCAAGGCCATATTGACTGTTTTCTTCGATTATCGTGGTGTTGTGCATTATGAATTCTTTGCAACCGGTCAAACAGTCAACAAGGAATACTATTTGAACGTTATGAGTCATTTGTGTTACGCTATTCGCCTRAAAAGGCCGGAATTGTGGAAAGACAATTATTGGTTTTTACATTACGATAATGCACCATCCCATACTGCCCTCGTAATTCGCGGTCATTTCGCCAAAAACTCAACCCATATCGTTCCGTTCACCTGATCTGGCGCCGTGCGACTTCTGGCTGTTCACCAAGCTCAAAAGACCGCTCCCGGGACATCGTTTTTATACGATAGAGGAGATTCAAGCCGCAGCGAAGACGGAAGGCCATCCCGGAAATTGACTACAACCAGTGTTTCGAAGATTGGAAAATCCGTAGTCATAAGTGCATTGCGTAGGGAGGGGATTACTTTGAAGGGGATGAAATTGATTTGGAAGAATTAATAAAGAATTTTCAAAATAATTACAATGTCACCTTATTTTTTGGGCACAGTACTACTGTGGTTACTTCTATTTAGATAATTTCTGCATGGAAATAGATATATTATGAAAAATATAAGAACAAAATTATATTTACTACTTTATAATAATGAATCCATCCCATCTTCCCCGGGTTGTTTATAAATCAATAATAATAACCATTATAACAACATTCACTTAATTGGTATTAATGAAAATATGTTTCGAGTTTTTACTGATATATTTTTATATATAAATTTTCCGTCGTATTATGATTCGTCAATTTCGTCGTCAGAATCATTACTATGGTGATAATGCCCATCATCTTAATAATCTTGTTCATCATCTTCGTTGTTGTCTGGAAAATTATGTATAAATGTTTCAACTGAACAATTTGAATATAGAATAGCATATAGTATAATAAAATCACCTGGTATATCTTGAATAAAATCTTTAACTAAACATGGTAGCTGGTCTTCCTCAAACCACTTGAAGACGTGTGATGTATCTTGTTATTCCCAACCATATTCTAGTGCGTTTATCATCGTCAGATATTTCTGTGAAGTATTTTTCCAGATGCCGGAAATGTAATGAGCCCTCAAGAATTATTGGTAAAGTTCAGCTTTACATGGAAGTATTGAACTAGCGTCGAAGTTTACAACATTTTTATTAAAGTTTTCATTTAAGTCAGATGCTTTGTAGCTATTGACAAATAGTTGAAAACGACTATCATCAACGTCTTTAGTTTTCTTGGTGTTATACATGTGGCAAGTAAATTCTTGAATAACATTAAACAGATAGTGTAGCATATCCGGAGTTAACTCAGCCTTTCCTAAACTTGCAAAACCTTTTCGAAATTGAACATTTTTTAACAAGGTGAAAGGCCTTTTTTTACCTTTATTAAAAAAAAGCAGGGTTAAAGTCCACCCTGTGAAAGCGTGAAAACCAATCAATCTTTGTTAATAATTTGCCGTGCAGCTCGTAAATTTAAGTAATATCAATGAATCTTTCTTGGTTTCCAGTCCCAGTAAGCATCCAAATATGAGACAACCGGTTTTTAAGTGAAATATATTGCCAATCATTATAATTAATATATCTGTATAAGAACCTCTAATGACGATATTTGACTCGTCTAGAATTCTGCATATAAATTTACTATCGGTGTAAAGGACAGGAGAGATCATCAACAAAACTCGATTCAACAATTTCATGATTTACTTTGTAGGAATAATAGTCACGAAAGTTGAGATGTATTAATTTAGTCCCAAGAAACGGAATGACTTCACTGCTAGCCCAATGAACTGTGAAAAAATCTATTAAAGCCTACTTAAAGCGGATTTTTTTCAACTTCTTCGAGAAATCAGTTGGTCTAACTTGTTCAGGTCCTGAAATTATATACTGCATTTGAACAGTCGTAAAGACCTTTCATAGACAAATATTGGGTCGAAAACAATATCAATTCATTGTCCGGGATATTTTGTGCTCATTACAACATTTTTTTACAAATACTACCAATCGTCTTAGGCACTTCTTTCATGGAATGTAAAATGAAAAAACCTTCAACAATGTAGACATTAGAAAACCGTAGCGGATTGTGCTCAATATTACCTTCCAAAGCTTTAGCAAAAGCTGATTTGTCAGTTTTGTAGTTGCACCATCTAAATGGCATAAAGCTAATGCCACAGGTGTGATGGGGTGTGACAAAATTTTCATTACATCGATTTTATGATCCATTGATATCTCTAGCATGCGACCAAATAAATCTCGCTGTATTTTTATTTCTTGAGTTTTTCCACCTTTGATATATTTAAGTTTTTCAATTTGGCTACATAAATTATGTAGCGGTCTTTTCATAATTGTTTTGTCGAATCGATTGAAATTCGAGGAACACTCCGACAAAAATAGTTCCCGTTGTTCACAGCCAATTTTTTCCACGTTCAACAGAAACCCTTCGACGTGAATTGTTGCTGCTTTACTAGACGCAATATTAAACAATTGATTTGTCGGCAACTCAAGATTAAAGGGATTTACGTATTGATCAAAAGTTTCTATAAATTTATCGAGTTGTTGTGAGCTTTTCTTTATTTGTGCGGTTTCAACTCTGCCGTGATATTTTGCTGTTTGCTTCGTGGATTCTTACCCAACGTTGACATGCTAAGATTGAATCCGTGAGGTGGACGATTCCCGTAAGCTTCCTAGCCGCATCGGCGTTGATAGTTTGTTCGACAGTTAAATCTACAGGCTGCCTTGAAAACGGGTTTTCTGTTCTTTTAACTCCAAAAAAATCATCCTCCAATCCTGGATGAATTTCTGCGACTTTTTAAATTATAATGATAATGGACTGTCCATCAGGGGTAACTTTGGTGGTTACAAACGAAGAACAAGTTATTAATTTTCGGTAATATGGACTTGAATAATTCAAAATCCCCAATACGAATACTTCGACTTAGCATTATACTGTACAAGTTAAACATAAATCATATAAAACTGAGCCGTCTTACCGAATTTACGGTTTATTGTTTTTTCTGCTTACGGTACAAATCCTTGAGGTGTTCATTATGAATGAAAAAGAATGGTACTTTGCAGCTTCTTAATCTCTCCAGTTTTTCAGTTATTTCAGTATTATTATTCAATATTTTCGCGTTGTAAAAACGAACGGAAATGCGTAGTTACGAACCGGCCGGCCGATTGCCTTGTAAGTTGCCAACAACGTTTCTTTGTCTTTTCCCCATGTGCTGCAGGCTAGCGACTTGAGAATTTTGTTGCGGCTCTGTATCTTGGCGATAATTACGGTCGTATGGGGAGAGAAGGAGCATAGACTATCGAGGGTTACACCTAACATCTTAGAGTCATTGACAGTCGGAATTTTGATGCCATCGACTTCAATATTAAGTTCAAGTCGATACTCCTTCGCCCAGTTCGTA